AAGTCCTATAAAAGTCATTGTGTAATAAAATGCCTCCGACGGGATTCGAACATGCGACCTCTCGCTGACAAGGCGCTGTCTCTTATACACATCTTGATGTGTATAAGAGACAGATTATGGTGTTCACTTCTTAAATACTGCGTTCAAGAGATATACTTTAACATATCTGTCACTGTTAACGTGTATTCGGGAATCTAAGAAGCAATATTTTTCAGTGGGCGTGGCCACCGAAAATAAATTCCACGCCCCCTTATATTTTGGTCGCGCCACCCACTAGCCCCCCCCCCATTTTAATACTGCTAGATACGCTACTGAGGGGGCCGTATTGGGAGGTTAGAATGGGGGAGTTTGATGAGAGGATTAGTATTAAGGCATTTGCAATTGAGGCATCGGGATTTATTGCACTTAATATTGCCAGGTGACAGTGGTAGGGAGGTTATGCGTGACGAAGTCAAAAGAGATTTAAGATTCGTCACTCATAACCTCCCTACCACTGTCACCTGGCAATATTAAGTGAAAAAAATCCCGATGCCTCATCTGCAAATGCCTTAATACTAATCCTCTCATCAAACTCCCCCATTCTAACCTCCCAATACGGCCCCCTCAGTAGCGTATCTAGCAGTATTAAAATGGGGGGGGGGCTAGTGGGTGGCGCGACCAAAATATAAGGGGGCGTGGAATTTATTTTCGGTGGCCACGCCCACTGAAAAATATTGCTTCTTAGATTCCCGAATACACGTTAACAGTGACAGATATGTTAAAGTATATCTCTTGAACGCAGTATTTAAGAAGTGAGATAATACCATAATAAACAAAACGAAACTTTTATTGTCGATTACGATTTCTTGCCTTAATTAAAATTACTGGGTTGTTTTACCCGTATAGTTTTATTTTAAATAGGCTTACATCAACAATTCTCCATGCACCATAAAAATTACTATGCTAGACCTTTCGAGGCATCGAATCATACCAACAGTTTTAGAATAATTGATGTGTGTGTTTTTTTATTATGTGTGACAGCGACCATTTTAGTGACCATTTTTATAAATATTGATTATTATTATTATTATTATTATTATTAGTTGCTGTGAAATGAAGGACGAATAAATACATAATATGGTGTTTTGATGAACGTCAATAAAGGGAAGTTGAGAAAGCATTAACCCATATTTTTGAGCATAAACCTAGCCTAATTTTTTTTGCTTCGAAGTTTTCGAATGGGCGCAAGATTTTTGTGAGGGGGGGGTGCCCGACCCCCCCTGGATACACCACTGGCCCCACCTCCATGTTCATTATATTCTATTAAAATGTCGACCAATCATATTATAATTTACTTTTTATCATTATTATTGTAATAGCCAACTTATATTTTGTTTGTCATACATGCTGAAGACCCGAGGACGGGTTGAAATATTCATGTTTTGAATAAAATTTGTGTTCTAAATCTACCAAGACTTAGAACACTAAGTACCCTCAAAATTTCAAAAATAGATTTGGCGGAGATGGACTAAAACACAGAATCGTTTCTATTGTTTTTTTGACTTTTATTAGATAAATAAACTCTACAATGGCGGATCCTGTTTGCTGAAGGGGAGACGGGTAGGGTGTGGAAAGATTATGCAGCAGTCAAATAACGAGTTTGCCATGAATCTTTTAGCTAAGAGTTGGGGTATATTCACGTTAGCATGTAGACACATGTATCAGCACCTGTTCTGTAGTGGTAGGAGACGCTACTACTAGTGACAAATGATCTTACTGGAGGTGTAACGCCTTACAACCACGCCCCTCCGGCCCCTCCCTCTCATCCAGCCCCGGTAACCAATACTCCAAATTTCTTTTGCGCTACGCCCCTATATATATATAGTATATAGTATATATATATATATATATATATATATATATATATACATAATAAGATGTGTATAAGAGACAGTCCTCGCCCTTACCGCAAAGTGACTACTAATCAGACTGCTTTTTTTAAGTTACCTTCTGTAAATATATACATACATACATAAAAGTTAATAGATGGCACATAACCATACCTGTGTCATTACCATACGTGTGATCTGCTGTTGGTCCAGTCCCATTTGTTGCTGTGAAACCCCTTGAAAGTTGCCAATGAAACGTGGTTACGGTACGTTCTTCATAAGAAATCTGGCAAGCTCCATAGCCGTTTTCAAAGTCACACACCATATCTCCTAAAATACAGATAAACATTGGGTCAAAATTTGAGAAACACCGTTGCATCGCAAAGCCCCGTAACAATGATTAGTATGAATATGAAATCTTACCACTCGGACATGGCGACCTTTCATAATCAATTTCATCAATAAAGCTGGTTGAGTCCCACCACTGTCCTTTTAATGATTCAAATACAATCTGAAAACAAAAAAAAAATAGCTAGCAATGAAAAGCTATTCTGTATCAGATTAAGAATTAAAAAATACGAATGAGTACAATGTCAGACATACATAATAATAATAGTGTAGTTTTATAAAGCGCACATAGGCCTATTCATCTAATGTAAGATGCTCAGGGCGCTTGATATGTGGACAAAGAACTCGATCAATGACTTTCCTCGCCCCTAGGGGTCCATTCGTGTCTGTGTTACCCGGTAACCCGGTACCAGCAACTCTCGTTGCCCACCACAGGGGTTGTCTGTTCCATTACACCGGGGTATCCCCTACTCGTCTCGAAGGATGTACTAGGTTCTTTATAGTCCACACGAGCCATTTTATACACTGGGCCTACGGTTTATAGTCCTTATCCGAGAAGACTTGTTCTACCACCAGAACCATTTCGTGCCGTTTCAAGCCAGCGCCGATATTATGGCTATAGCTTGCGGCGCCCCTGCTAACCCCTCGGCCATTCGACTCACCATTATTCACATTCACCATACAATACATATTTTGGATCTCCGCCCCCCTGTAGTGGATATGTGCGTGTGGCCCGCCTATCGGCTTAGTGCCACGCCCACTGCTTCCATTTTGGACGGCCTATTTCGTTTTTCTGGCTAAACCTCGTATAATTTTTTCTTTCGAGTTCAAGATCAGAGTTTACTCGCAATATTTTCTTCTAAGTTTAAAATATCATATTACAGTCAATGACATTTGTGGTTCTCATATAATTAAGATCGACGCTCTCTGTAACATATTTAAAGAAGTGGTTTGGGCTACCCCACCCTGGGACGTTATCTTTTCTTCATATGCCCAAAGGAATCAACATCCCTCGAGTATCTGATCTATACAAGGAATGCCACCTAGTGGCTCATATTTCATCCAGGTTTAAAAGAGATGGCACTGCTAACCACTGTCTTAATACTCGTCTAGAGCGTGAGATTAACTGGTCAAGGAAAAAATCATATGCCACTGACTGTGAATTTGGACTAAAAGACACCCAGAACTCCCAACCTTAACCTTAATCAGATAAAAAATATCGCAGAAAAGAACCTTAGAGAGAAAATACAAAATTTTTGGGACCTCCATGTGAGGGGGCTCCAAGTCCAGGGAAGGTTCTTTAAACTGTTTTCACTCCAAGAAACATGTCATCATTGAAAAAGCATTATTTTTAATTTGCCAAGGGGGGTGGGGGAGGTCCTTAATTTTTGGTTAATGCTCTTGGAGACTCACTCAACACCAGGGTCAATCTACGTACATGGGGAAAATCCAACTCGGTAAAATGCAGTTTATGTGGTAACCGGGAAACTCTTGCTCACGTCTTAATTTTGTCAAAGATCCCTGGACCAGGGGCGCATTACATGGAGGCACAACAACGTTCTCAATCATATTGTTAAGATTCTTAAGAAAGGTTTTTGTAACGCTACTTGTATCCCTGAAGTCCTATTCGACCTCGAAGCCAGCACCCAGCATTTTCACTATACTACCATTCCCCCTGAATGCTTACCAACTAACTTAATACCGGATTTATGCATTTATTGGAAAAACCTAAAGAAGCTCCTCATTTTTTAACTTACCGCCCCTTTCGAAACTGGCATCGATGCCGCCCACTACAGAAAATTTAACAAATATGCGCCATTATTTTCTGATATTATAGATGCTGGTTTTAAGAGGTTGAACTCGTCTGTTTCGAAGTAGGCTCCAGAGGATATATTTCCCCAAATAATATTAAACGTTTAAAGAAAATCCACGAATTGTGCAATATTTAACCAACTTCGAGACGATAATAATCTCAAAAATCTAAATTGTTTCCTCATTTACAATATACTATGCCAAAGATCAACCCTCTTGGGTTAATCCGCCTCTTTTTGAACTGACAATTTAATTGAGTGCTGTCTTCCTTAATATGAATGATAGGCCTCTCTCTATTTTTATATTTTTTCATATTGTTATATTTCGTATCTTAATGTATTTGTACGTCAATTCATTTACCCTTGCGTGCTCCCAGTTTTAACCACTGTTCTGGGCTCTTTATTTGTTCCCCGTATTGTTTTTATGCAATAAAGTGATTTTATGATTTATACTGATTTACTGTATTTTTAGCTTAAGATGTTCCTCTTCGCTATTTTTTTTTTAATTTTATCAATTCCAATTTCATAATTTAATTAAAATAATTAATTATTCACTTGTTTTGCATGTGTATGTTTTTATATACTTATTGTATTTTTATCTGTATTTTTTCTATTTGCAGTTTCTTGCTTAGGATGTTCCTCTTCGCAATTTTTTTTTTTTTTGTAAAATTTTACCTTTTTCAATTTCTTAATGTAATTCCATTAATAAATTATATACATTTTTTTATATTTATATTATTGTATTTAGGACATCCTGTAATTGGCTTTTTGCTGTTGGATGATGTTCAAAATAAAATATAAAATAAAATAAATTAACTCTTTATTTACACTAGCAGGTATTATGCTATGTTTAAACTGTAGCTGTATGGCTTTAGTTTAATGTTAGAATTGAGCTATGCTGAAGAATACAGTTAGAAGTTATGAGGCGCTTTGTGTTCACTTATTATTTAGCAAAAATAGACAGTTTTTATGTTATACATTTAGGCCTAATAATTTATAATATTTTATATAATATATAATTGACTGTGTGGCTGCTGGCGATCAATCGAGTGAGATATAACATTTAGTGCCTGCCCTCTATTTTGGAAAATACTTCCAAACTATGTGTCCTGGTCTAGTCTTCCAGCTCGCAGTCACTTTGAACGATCTGCGGCCGCGTGTCAGATATAACAATTATAGAGTCCTTTATGTTGAAAATGTTCACGCGTATATAGTATGCGGACGCACGTGAGCATCAAGTTATATATAGGCCTATTATAAATTATGAGTATAAGTGTGCCAATTTCTATTTTTTAAATGTAAACCATCTTGGAATACATTAAGCAATTAGTAGAGCTCCGCATAGTACACTATAGGTAAAAGGTTAGATTTAATGTTTGAAAACATTTCCTTAGGGCCGAAGGAAATTTTTTAATGTCTTAAATCCAACCTAAGTATAATAAGTTATAAGAACTAGTTTGTAATTCTATTTTGACAAACATTCGTCAAAGATATAAACACATTTTTTAAAGCATTCGAGAGAGAATACAGTCACTGACTTTTTGGTCAGTGGAGACAGGTAACAATCGTACGATGATTTCTTAACTAAGCTAGGCTACGGCCTGGCATAGTACTAGTGTAGGAGGCCTCGGCGGCCTCCTGCCTGGCCGTAGGCCTACATCTGATCTCGTTCATTGATTCATTAAAAAAAGTCTAGAATATTTCTATTAAATTTTTAGTTTGTTTAGTTTATTAGGGTTCATTGATTCAATGAATTCCTTAATTGTTCATACTTAATATTGAATTTGAAGTAACTTTATTCGGGTTTTAATTAACCTTGTTTTACGAAAGTAATTTTCAATTACAATTCAATTTTTATCGCAGTGCGCGATCTCTACGTGACGAAAAATTAGATGTTTTTTTTTGCACACGAACATAAAAAAGATCAAGCCAAACGTTCATCATTGAAAAATTATTTGACTGTGCGAAATTGGTAAATAATATTGGGAGTTGCAGTGACGACGATTATAATAAGATCTCACCACGAAATTAGTAACATTGCTGGTGAAATCATATATATATATATATATATATATATATATATATATATATATATNNNTCCTTTATTATTCTTTATGTATGTGTAAGATCTCCAAATTTTTCCCACTTTTCCGTTGATATAGATAGCAGGAGCTATCGAAATATCCGTTGATTTTATTATAGTTAAATAAATTTGTGTTCCGTAAGTCAACTTTCAATGATTGTACACCATTTTCTCATTGTTTTTACATTATATATATATATATATATATATATATATATATACACCACATAATGTATATTATATACATATATATATGTATATAATGAAAAAACAATGAAAAAACGATGTATTCATAATCAAGTTGAAAAATAACTATAACAATGCTGGAATAGGAACAAGACGTTATAGTATCAAGCATAGCCCGTCAACGAAAAGTTCCTTTATTTAATATGCAAAAAGTGTGTTTGGTTTTATTTGACCTGGAACCTCTCGCCATCAAGGCGAGTATTATACTAACTAGAAATTGCAAATTGCAAGTGAAGTGCTGCGAAGTAAAACTGCTATAAATGTTCTTCGAACAAAATTATTTATGCGAGTCAAGTGAAAATAATGAATAATGAAAATATAACAAATAATATGAGACACGACCCATTGTCTATATTAGAACAGCGTTGGTACCGTGTTTTGCTGCAGTGACATCTCGCTGCTGGCGACTCGCTGCTCTGCTGGCCGATGACTCGATCGCTGCTGGCGAATCGATCTGCTCATGTGTATAAAATGGTATTTATTTCCGAAAACACTATTCCAGTCTACAACAAGCGTCGCCTAAATGTAATAATTAGCACGTTGAAATAGGCTAGTAAATAATTTTAACTGGGTTCGTAAATAATATTGGCCTCAAAATATTGTGGCTGAGACATGAGCCGATTAAACGTAGAAATAGGAAACCTAGAAATATAATAAAAACGCTGAATAGTACTCCAGCGTCGCGACATAGGGACGTTGGTACGAGTAGGTTAGTCTACAAACGTCGCCTAAAGTAATTGATTTTACCCGGCAGAACGAAAGAAGGTTTTTTGACAAACAATGACCTTTCAGAGGTCAAATTGCTGTCAAGAATATGAATTGGCTGCTTCGCAGCAATTAGACCATAGGTGAAGATCTAATCTCCAAGAGAGGCACTTTCTCACACACGACTGACTGAAATGCTCACACATAGTGGAACTGTGGTTAAGCTCGATAAGCTTATAGGTCACATCTTGGAAATTATAGTAAACAATATTCAAATTAGGTTTGCGTTGTAGCACCATACACTTCATTAAAGAATGAGAACTATATGATAAGATACAAACCATGTCGGAGTATTTTTTCGGTTGTCATTTTCGGCGGTGGTAAATGTAAAATATACGAAATATATGATTAAATAAACTAACCTGAAAGGGTTTTGATGACGGTGGCAAATCAACTTGCTGTAGATTCCATTGATTTCCATAACTTCCATATAACGCTACCAGAGGATCTCCGTGAAATAGTTCATTGTGTTTTAGCATGTAAACGTTCAGAAATTCACTATAAACGCTCTGTTTGTAGAACCAAAACTTCAAACAGGTTTGGCTTTTAGTTTTTTTAATTAACGGAGACAATAATCGTGCTTCGTCGTCTTTTTCATGTCTCGGGGCATAAAAAACAACTTCGGTGAATAGGAAAGTTCCTAAACATGTAGAACGGATATAAGCGTTGTAAATTAAAAAAAAATAAATGTATGTTGTAAGTCTTTTGAAAAGAACCCATCTCGAAATGAAACCATGGGCTTCTTTCCAAGATAGCATAGGCTTTTTTTCGTGATAGTACAGCACATACACTCTACATGAATTTCAAAAAACAAAATAAATTAAAATCAAGCTTGGTTTGTACAGTAGTTTAGGTGATTTAATGCCAGTTAAATCTACTCCATGATACAGATTGATGGTACAGTGTCCTCATTTATTGTTTTGTATGATAAATTCACAAAATTTATAGCATTCATTTTGAAAAGAAGCTCCTCCCCCTCCTTACTTTGCAAAAGTAGCCTCGAAAAGAAGCCCATGTAGAAAAGAAGCCCATTCAAAGTTCGCAATGAAAAGAAGCCTATGGCTTCAATTCGAGGTTTCACGGTATTCTCATTTAACTTTACAGCTTCTTGGTAATGGAATAAACAATAATAATAAATTGGTTTTTTTTTTTTTGTTTTTTTGTGTGGTTTCAATTCATAAACTAATTTGGTGTAATGCTTTTATAATATTATTTTAATTCCCAAGATAGAATAAACCCCAAAAAGACTCAGTATGGTGAAATGAATCCAAATGTAAAATTTGTTTGGTCTTTTCTATATACATATTATGTATTTTTGTAAGTCTTTTTCAATCACAAGAGGTTCATGGTTCAATAAATCAAGAACCAACGTATTTAAAGGTAGGTTCTGTCCAGACACCATCCGCCTGTGGACCTCACTCGAAGATGCTGTGGAGTCAAAGTTACTCAGGGAATTCATGAACGGAGTGTCATAAGTTAACCTTGCTCGAAGATATTATTAGAATTACAGTTTAAATTACAAAATTTTAAAAAATGTAAAAATTAAAAATTCGCTTGGAAAATTACCAAAAGATTTGTAAATATGGAACATAAGATTAAGGAAATCAGGAAGCTCAGCTGCAGCAAATTGTGACCAACCCACATGTGCGACTGTACTCAAAAGAGGTTCTGCACAGTAAAGGAAGATGATGATGATGTTGATGAGTCTTACCTTCATTTGAAAATGGAAGTGATTTGTCGGTATGCGGATACCATTGTTCTTCCCCTTCTGAGGCGAAAAAGAAATAGTACCACCATATTGACCTATGAAATGCTTCCAGCTCAACCCCCGTCATCAATGTCCAATCAAAGTCATCGTTAACGTCTTGAATGTACCCACATAGATCATTCGATTCAAAGCCACAGTCAGCTTCCAATACGGTTTTTGGTTCGGGTGCCGGTGAAGTTGGGACTATATAATTTTTATATGAGAGTACCGGTAAGCAATTATTGGATTTACGAATTACATACAGTACAAACTTAGTGTTCTTTGGAATCATTATTTTTAATCATCGTTTACTCACAATATGTCATAGGCCTATTTAAGTTAATGCTCACTTAATATCTTAAAATAAGCATATACGGAATTTATTTCTGTGATTGGTTGGGAGGCAGTGCCTAGCCTTGACTAGTTGTGTGGCAGCCTTTGTAGACAAGTTGTTATGACGTACGCCATGTATGCGAAAGGTCCCGGGTTCGAGCCCCTTTGGAGACTGAGTTTTCTTTCTCTGTCATGTTCCTCTTCTGTTACGTTTTAATTTATTATTCATTGCATTATTCCTCTTGCTGTTTCGGGGTTTTTATATATAGACCTATACACAATATCTTATATGTATTAGGTTTGCTTGGTAGCACCATAAACACAATCATAGAAAATTGTATGAACAATACTCTAAATTCTTCCAGATTTGTGCCGGCGCCAGATTGGACAGTTATAAATCCTAACATAATTTTCTTCCTTTCTCATTGGTATATGATAGGCCTGCTGCTCGAATGGTCCTGCCAGTGTTTTTGCAACTTACCGATTTCACAGTTACCTCTTCTGATGCTGACGTCATCAATTGCAACTCCACCTACTGGCATCACCCCAGACGAAACCTCAAAAATAATCTGGAAAAAAAGCAATGAAAATTCACAAAACTAGCATTTAGGTTCTATGCCCTTATTTCATATAAATCAGAACAGGACAATTCCCCCAGCAAGCAAAGTAAGTCCCATTAGAGCGAGTCTGTATCAAACATACATGTTTTAATGAAGATAAATGTACAATACATTTGTAAAGGACATGTAGCTTGGTGATACATATTTATGTCAGTGTTTAATTTATGTTACGGTGTTGGAACTCTCACTATGAAAACCAAACCCATAATCGTCATTATTAGACTTAAATTATGCAGAGCATCATGTGAATATTTGTCTTGTGTTATAAATGTATCTTGTTAGAGGTTGGCAATAGAAAGCAGTACCTGACGCTCATTAGGTTTCACCCTCGTTACAAATTAAAGCGAAATGCAATTAAATTCAACTTAAATATTAGGTTTGAGACGTTCTATATGTTACTTGGGTCTGTTTGTCAATCTCCTGCTTGTCTGTCGTTCTATAAAACTTGTCTTAGTGATAAAATGCCAGGGTTAACACTAGTATATTGATAATGATCAAATCTCAGAATGTATATTAATTGGTGAAGTTGTTAAACTGTCTAAAGTAAACAATCTTGTAAAAAAAATTAAATGATTTAACCGCATGTATTTGAATGACTTCATAGATTATTTAAAAAACACCTTAAATATTATTTAAATATGGTGAATGAAAACAGAAATCAGCCTAAGAAATTATGGAAAGCATTAAAGAAAATAGGTGCATCTCGATGTATGCAAAATAATAATAATAATTGTATCAGACTAAAAATAGGTGATGAAATATGTTGTGATAAATCTACGGTTGCTGATCAATTTAACTCATTTTCCCGTCAATTTTTAGTAGACAGTTTGGTCTAACCTTTATAACTCAGTTTTATCAGAATAAGGATGACGAATTGTAGTTTTTCTCCTCGACGAGGTGGGGGGGGGGATTTATCCCCCTAGCCCCCGTAGCGCCTCTACTGCTTAAAACCCTAATTGAGCCCTACGAAATCAACCTGTCTTGATAATCTGCCTGCTAGATTTATTAAAGATGGAGCCAGCGTTATTGCTGCTCCATTATTCTAAATTTGTCAATATACACGGCACTGGTTTTGGTCTAAAGGAGTTTGTGCTTCGATCCATTCATAGAGTCTTTTGATGTACCTTTTTTGCAAGGTTTGCCTATGTCTAAACTAACTCCGTTATTATTGTTAAAAAAGTATAATCATCAGGAATGATTACATAATTAATGTCGAAATATTGAATCCCAACACGATGACGTGTATTTCAATACTTGGAGTATGTATTATACTTTCTTATCTGAGATTAATCAGTGGACTTTTCGTTTTGCTTTTTGTTTGCTTTGAAGACTAAAGGCCAGGTCACACCTACACCGATAACGATACCGATAACGATATATCGTTGCCTTTGCGGTCACACCTGACCACAACGAAGAAAAATCGTAACGGCACTGGTTTTGGTCTAAAGGAGTTTGTGCTTCGATCCATTCATAGAGTCTTTTGATGTACCTTTTTTGCAAGGTTTGCCTATGTCTAAACTAACTCCAGCTATAATAAAGTTTATTATAAAATTGGAAATGTTATTATTGTTAAAAAAGTATAATCATCAGGAATGATTACATAATCAATGTCGAAATATTGAATCCCAACACGATGACGTGTATTTCAATACTTGGAGTATGTATTATACTTTCTTATCTGAGATTAATCAGTGGGCCTTTCGGTTGTTAATGAATAGATAAGGATTACTACTATGACAATTTTTATTTATCTAATCTACGTAAATTTACTTTCAGAGTTTATAATTAAAGTTAAAGTTTAGATATTTACTTTAAAAAATATATATGAAATAATGTAATCGTTAATGTTTATAATATTTGGTAATACCGGTATTTAAATAAAGCAAGAATATTGAAGTATATTAAATACAGGCCAATAGCTCTAGATTACAGTTAAATATGTAAATATGTATCGTTATATATA